AGTAGGTAAGTGTAGATCCACTTTACAGATAGGTAAAATGAGGCATGGGGTTTATTTGCCAGAGTTCACACAGACAGGCGAATAGAATAGAATCAAGTCATCCTAACTCCTGGTTTCCTGCTCAAGCCCTCTAAAATTCTTCCCTGCTTTACATGTAAAAGAAAGTCAGATGCAGCAGAAGTAAAAAGGAGTTGATAAAACGTGTGTCATTGTAGTCAATACTCAGGTTACTGTGAAAGCAATGGTGATGTTTTGCTTTTCCTTTCTGACCTTATAAGATCAGTATGTCTATATGTTCTTCACATTGTAACTCAGGTTTAGGAATTTCTTGGTCATAGGTTAGGGCTTGTTTCAAAATTAGTATCTTCCAGAGATGGCAGAAGTTTACTGGTAATTAAATAAATTGTTATCCAATATCTCTTATGATCTTGTTTTGCTAAAGGGAAAACCTTGTATAAATGACATTTAAGTAGATGTTCTAACCTAGAGTCAAATAATGTGGTGAATGATCGATTAAAATGCAATAACTTATTTTACTGCTACATTGTAGTTGAGATTTAAAGTACAGGAAATTCTGTTATTGTTCTCATTGGAATTGTTAACTCAGGTTCCACACATGTATCGTTTGGTTTTTACTCAGTAAGGTTAGGATAGCTAATAGTTGTATCTGTAGCTGGGAGAAATATTACTCATGAAAGTGTTTAGTGACATTTTTTAATTATGGAATTTATAGCAATTTGAATGTTATGAAATTATGACTTTTTGAAGTGTTATGTGAAATAATCTTTGTAAAAAGTGGAGAAATGAAACCATTTTACTAGAAAATTTACATTTATGAATTTTTAAAAGTCTGAAGTTTAAGTTGAAAATCCACTTGACTTCAGGGATTAGCTACAGGAAGTTCTGAGTTTTATAATTTCACCTCTTGATAATGATCAGTTTCAGTAAAATGTTGCCCTTCCATTGCACTTCACAAACACCATTAAATTAAATCAGTAAATGCCATTA